CCCATTCAGGATGAAGACGTGGGGTACAGAGCTGGAGAGGTGGTTCAGGATTAAGAGCATTTGATGTGTGAGCATGAAGACTGGAGTTCAGATCCTAGCTCAAGTAAAAAGCCACATGCAGTTGCACACAGTGCCAGAAACAAGCTTATAGGGATTGTTGGTCACTAGCCTACCTCTGGCTTCAATGTCTTAAGTCATTATCTTAAGAAATACATAGTGAGATTTCAAAGTTCCCCTGCTATTTTTTTTTTGCTTGTTTGTTTGATCTTTTATTTATTTTTTCAATTTTTGTTTGGTTGGCTTCTAAAATAGAAGAAAAGTCTGAGGTCTTCTTGACATGAAGAGGGAAAGGTAGATATTTAGGAGCATGTGGTAAAGAAATATTGGAAAATACAGGAAATTATGTCCCAATATCTACCCTTAAGTCAGGGATCAGGAAAATGGTCCAAAAAAAGATAAAAGCAAAAAACAAAACAAAACAAGCCCACTTTGGGCTTGGAGGAAACCATGTGCTGAATGCTGATGTGCCCTTCCCCCAGTTCACACTGTGATTACTCAGTCCCCAGTCGTGGTGCTAAGGGTTGAAGCTTTGGGAGATAATTAGATCAGGAACCCTCTGACAACTCCAGGGTTAGTGATCCATGGGAGACGTCTGAAAGAGCTTGGCTGTCTGCTTGTCACGTGATAGCACCTGGACTGATCAAAAGGCACGTCTATTGGGGCAGGTACTTCCTTACCATATACAGAATCAATTGTTCTTCACATCTTGGACTTCATAACTATGGATAAATAAAACCTTACTGTCTATGTATCAACCAGTTTATAGTCTTTTTGTAACAGTATCTCAGGTCACAAATCTCGAGGGCCAGCCAGTCTTAGTCATAATTCTTCAGCTCTGCCATTGTAGCATATTATTGCTTATAGACAATATGAACAAATGAGAGAGGCTCTCTTTCAATAAGACCTGTGTTGTAATTTATGAAAAGGTGGTGTGAAAAAAAAAAGATGCCAAGCTCAGACCTGTGGAGGGTTTTTGTTTTGTTTGCTTGTTTTGTTTTTTTATAAATTATTATTATTAGTGGAAACAGAATGGGAAAAGGGGGGAGGGAGACTAGCCTGTGGAGACAGGAGCAGCAGAAGACAGAGTTGGAGAGGTGTGTGTGTGTGTGTGGGGGGTGACAGAGAGACAGGCAGAGAACCACACACACACACACACACACACACACACACACAGAGAGAGAGAGAGAGAGAGAGAGAGAGAGAGAGAGAGAGAGAGAGAGAGAGAGAGGAGAGAGGGAGAGAGAGACAGACAGACAGAGACAGACAGAGACAGACAGAGACAGACAGAGACAGAGGCAATGATGGGAGGTGAGCAGGGCCCTTTTTAAAAGGGAACATAGTGAATGTGCACTGGTGGTGCTCTTAGTGGCTTCAGCTGAGGACAGATATATCCTGTCAGAAGGCCAAGGACAGACCAGTGTAGATGCCAGAATACTAACACTATGCACAAATAAGACAGTAGAAGTAGATAAAATTGTCCCATGGCTTTAATTTGCTGACAGATGCCAGATCTCAGTTCTTACCTGGAAGATACAGATATTCTATTCTGGAACCAAATATGAGTTATCATGACCTGGAAATAAAAATTCTGGTTATCCCAAATTCTATTTCCCAACATGGCAACAGTTTTATGAAGTGTTTATAGTAATACAACCAAGAAAACCATAAATGAAGACATGTTTCAAGTACATTGTTGGAAGCATTAGGTTGATGCTTATGTTACTAAAAGGCATAGGTTAAAGAAAAGCAGGGGAGCCCATTATAGGTCTCAGATGATGAAATTCTTGTTTTGTTTTCTTTTTTTGAGTTGGTGTGTGTGTGTCAATGTTTTGTTAAGTAAGTACAATGTAAAAGAAGATCTATTAACCACAGCTATTTTAGAACAGACATAGAGGAATGATGATTAAGGGGGCTGAAGATAGCTCAAGGGGCTGAACAGATGGCCTAGAGATTAAGAGCACTTTCAGAGGACCTAAGTTTAGTGCCCAGAACCCACATTGCAGCTCCCAATGGTCTGGACTCCCAGTTCCAGGGATTTCAACACCTTTTTCCTAGCCTCTGTGGGCACTAGGCATGCACACAGTATACATTCAGACATGCAGGGAAAACACACACACACACACACACACACACACACACACACAAAAGATACATGCAAATGACAACAGATAGCCTTATATAAATTGTAATTAAGCTACAGCTAAATTGCAATTAAGTTATGGACCTGCAGCATTCCAATTTCTTTAAAATTGCTGACATTCTAACCAGTTAATTATCCTGGTAGAAGTTTCCAGAAAAGTTTCATTCAGATGCCTTACATGCCAATCATATACAAGGGATAAAATAAATATGTGTTTAATAGATGAATGAAACAGGAGTGGATTTGGAGGACACAGTTGCTTTTGAATTTATTTTCCTTTAACAGTGTGAGGGCAGGTATTGATTTGAGTTAGTGCTTGAGATTGTTGATGATGGTTTGATGTCACTGCTGATTAGGGACAATATCTGAACTCAAGACACAATCCCCATACTTCCTAGGGAATAGCTTACTGGAAAGAGAAATGGAATTCATTAAGGGGAGTGAGTGATTTTTAAGTAAATTACATTTAAGAACCACTGTCTCATCAGCATGAGTAACTTATATTAAGTACATGAAAGAGATATTGATCCCACTTTACTGACGAAGATATTGGATCTTGAAGAGATAAGAATTACCCAAAGTTAGCAATTGAAAGTACAAGATTTCATAGTCACATTTGTCTGCATTACAATTCACTTCATCAGTATTCTGTTTACTTGAACTTGACAACAGGTGAAAAAGAAATGTTTTAAATTCTATTGTTAATAACTGATACTGTCTGCAAAAAGCTAGAATACCACTGAAGTTCAATTTGAAAATGACAGATCTGAGAATGAGCTGTTTTGGAACAAGACTTAAGGAATAATATGAAAGTTAAGGGGGAAATGGTTAGATCAGTATTTTTCAACCTGTGAGTCATGACCCCTTTGGGAGGGCCAATGACCCTTTCACTGGGGTTGTGTATCAAATATCCCGTGAATCAGGTTTTTACATTAAAATTCATAATGTAGTAAAATTGCAGTTATGAAGTAACAAGAAAATAAATTTATGGCTGAGGGTCACCACAACATGAAGAACTGTATTAAAGGGTCAAAAGGTTGAGAAACACTGAGTTAGATGCTATTGAAGGTCACAGCACTGGCAGAGGATTTGGCATAAGGAAGAGCTTCTTGAAATGCATTATAGCTTTCTTCTCAGTAGCATACAAAGAAAATATACCAGCAATACTTTTGAGAGGTCTTTGCTCAAGTGTATTTCATACAATTTCATTTTGATTTATGAATTCAAAATTTTAAGTTCACTTGTATGATGAATGAGATCCAACTTTTTTGTTTTTCCTTGTTTTATCCAGATGTATTTTATATTATCATACCTAACATATTTAGCTACATTTTATATGAAGCTCTATTATTTCACAACATTATGTGTGCTATACTATAGACCATGTTCCAGGCCAAATGAAGGTCATTTAATTCTTTGTTTGATTCCAACTCAGTATTGCCATCAATTTATACAGGATGGCTGAAGCCATACAAACAAAACCATGATAACATCTCCATTTTAAATTCAAGTCTTGAGGAATTAAAGAATGACTATGGACTTCTTCCGAAAACAAGGCATATCACAGGTCCTCATCCTCTCCTATTGAATCGCAAACTTGCTGGTAGACTAGGCACTATTCATGTTCAATATGCAGAAATATAAGGCAACTGTGAGGACTCAAGTGCTGGGACATACAAGGGAGCATTAGTAGAGTAGTGGCCTAGATTAACTTTTCAATACAATGAATATTTTGAGCTTCTTAAAAAGTAAATTCAAGTAATTTTATAAAGTTTAAAAATAATTCTAACTATATGCAGATTCAAGTTTATAGGATAACTTTGAAGCAGCCCTCCTCTATGTTGTAACTCTATTCTTTAGAAATATTTGATACATGCTGGATTATACTTTATATTACTTTATGTGTTCCTGTATCCAAGGCACTATCAGCACTTTACAATCTATGTATGAAGTTTTTCCACCTGGTTTAAAAATCATACCCTGGTGTTCCTGCTAGTTTTATGTCAACTTGACCCAGACTAACATCATTTCAGAAGAAAGAATCTTAATTAAGAAAATGATTCTGCTAGGTTGGTGTGTGGGCAAGCCTCTGGTACAGGTTTTTAAAGTGACGATGTCTATGGGAGGGGGTCAGCTCACTGTGAGTTTTACCACACCGATGCAGGTGGTCCTGGGTTCTATAAGAAAGCAGGTTAAGGAAGCCATCAGGAGCAAGCAAGTAAGCAGCACCCCCTCCATGGCCTCTATATCAGCTCCTACCTCCAGGATCCTCCCTTGAGTTCCTGTCTTGACTACTCTGCATGATGGGTTACAAGCTGTAAGAGGAAATAAACACTTTCCTCACAAATTGATTTTGGGCATGGTGTTTTATCACAAAAATAGAAAACTAACTAAGACACCTGGATGTGGCTCATTGCTTCCTTGTTCTCCATAGAATGGCTTGCAGTGACTGGGTGTTCATTTAATACTAGTCAAGAAAACACACAGAGGGAGAAATAAACTCAGCTATTTAAAACTTGCCTATTGTGATACACTCCCAAATTATCTTGCATATAGTATGTTGGGCCCCAGTGTACACTGAGGTTCATTTCCTTTTTGCATGGAAAATTGAGAATGGACCAGAAACCAAAATTACAGTGTTTATAAGAGACAACTTTGTGAACCAGAAAGATAATGCCCTCTTTCCTGCCAAGTGCAAGAAAGAACGTCTTCCTCCCAAGTCATAAGGTTCCATCTGCCAGATGCTACTGCAGTGCAAGACACAGATGATTCCACTGTCTGCTCTGCTTCCACTCTGCAGGGAATCTGATGTCTGGGATGTCACGGGAGGAAAAGCTGAGAGTTCAAACTCTGAACAGGGCCTACCTGTCCGAACACACTGCTCGGCCAATACCCAGCTGATAAGTAAGGGTACAATTATGCTTCTGCAAGAAGTAAAGGTCTAAAAGTACCTTAAAGGAACACGTGAAAGTGCTACCAGAGTTTAAAGGAAGACAAGAACCGGTGGCTGAAAACTCTCAAGGTTCATCTTAGACTCGGAGGCTGAAGACTGCAGATCTTCCTGCATCAGTCTACATACAAGAACAGGTGACCTATGCTAATGGAGCTGTGAAAATGACAGAGGTTTTTTTTATTCAGTTAGAAACAAAATGAGCAAGATCATAATAAGAGCTTAAAAAGAACAGACGCCAGTCAGATGAAGAAAGGGATGTAGAAAATTTCAGTTCAGTTAACGAGAATTGAACATGTCATCACTGGTGTTTGGTATGGGGCTGCTCTCTAGGGTAACTGATTACAGGTTGTGATGTACTTCAGTATGTACTTCTCTTATTCTCTTTTGCTATAAATTGGCAAGGAAACACAATAGCACAGACCAAGGCTAGCTAGCCCCATTTTGTGTGTTCTAATGGAAGCAATTACTGTAGTATAAACCATGAAGGCTGCCCCAGCCTCAACTCTGGGTCAGGCCTCTAATCAAATATGGCTGTGTCTGTTACCAAGTAGGCTGCATCTGAACAATACCTGAGATGAGCACAAGGTGAATACCTGCTTTTATCTTGTATCATTTAGTTTTGCCTGATATCTGTGTCAAATGGGCTGAACTGTCTAGGAGTGTTACAAGGAAGTAGCAATGCCAGGAGATGAAACTGAATGATAGGTAGAGCACCATAGAAGAATACTATTCCTCCGAGCAGGTGACTGAGCCTAGAGCAAATGAAGCAAAGGTGCAGATCAGTGTGGACTCTGCTAAAGAGGATAAAGACTTACACACTGCTATCTTTTGAAAAGTCTGTCTTGCCTGTATTCATATGTTGAAATCCTCATCCCTAAAATGATGGGGTTATGATGTAGGAACTTCGGGGAGTAATTAGGCTCTAACCACAATCCTTTATTTGGTGGGACTTAAGGAGTGAGTGTCTCTCTTGTCATGTGAAGTCATAGTGAAATTATATGGTCTATGAACAAAACAGTGGGCCTTCCCCAGAAGTGAGCTCTCAAAATCATGATCTCTGACTTCCTGGCCACTAAAACTGCAAGCAAAACAATTCTATTGTTTATAAGGCAAATAGTCTATGATATTTTGTAATACGAACTCAAGCAAATGAGCTAAAATAGTTCTATGGCCAATAGTAGAGCAGTTTTTTGAAACAGAAACATAAAAATTAAGCATTGAAAACTGGAGTGAAGGGCTGAGGTGCTGAAGCTGGTCCTACACTGCCTCCTGCAAGTGGCTCTGTGAATTTTAACCACAATTGTTTACTGATGATATACCCCAGAGGTATTAGTTACACCTCATCTTGTTGTGCCCAAATTCTGAATCTCCAAATCACCAAGAGGCCCATTTCGATGCAAAAGCAATGAGTCTTTTATTGCAGTTTTTTAATGAGCTAACCCCATGTTAGCTCAGGCGTTTCATCCATCCACCATGGCAGATAGCTGGGAAGAGTCGCCGAGAAGCCACAGGATAGAGATCTTATAGAGCAGAATAAGGGGAGTGTCTAGGGATACGCACAGGCTCAGGATTGGTGTGCCTCCAGGCTTGGAGGACTTGCCCTGTGCTGATTGACCAACTGGTTGTTATGGCGCATAGGCCCTCCCAGGGCGATTGCTATGCTCTGCATATCATTGCTGTGCACTTGTCTGTAAAGCATACCCAGAGCAGTAAAGCATAGCACTACCAGCTAACTTCTAATTGATTCCTTGCCATGAGGCAGGCATCTGACCTCCTAGTGACCAAGGCAAGGTCAGGCAAGCACGTGTTAGGCTGTTATGGCTGCCAAAATGGGGACCTGGTCCCTTCAATCTGAGCCGTTGTTTGTGGACTCAGAAAGGACTCTGGAAAGAAGTTTGCATATATAGAGCTGAATGAATTTTTTCCTGCCAAAAATAGCTGAAGAAGAAGGTATTTTGATGTTGTTGTTTTGTTTTAGTGCTTCTTTTTAAAATTGTGACATAAAGGAGAAACACAGTTTGAAATTTTTCCTCTGCCTCTTGGAAGAAGTCAATCAAATAATTTGAAAGGATGGTGTAACTACTTAATTTTAAAATATTTTAAAACAAAATAAATGAACACATTTGGTTTAATTAGGAGTTGACAAGTTTTAAAATATAATCATAACAAATAAAAGGAAAGATACTGCTGTTTTAACAACTTCTAAGATTATATAGTTTACTAGATAATTTGCATTAATTAATTATCTTGTATGTCCTAGTATGTCCTAGCATCTCTATTGATTAAAGTGTAAGAGTCTTCAATGATTAGATAATTGATTTTAGGAATCCCTCTGAATTTATTAGATTGAACTTCAATTTGTAGCAAATATTTTTTTACTGGTTTACCTTATCTGTTCTTTTACTTGATTGTGATCCTAAATTGTATAAAAATGGTTAAGATTTTGATCCTAAATTGTATAAAAATGGTTAAGATGTGAAATTAAAATAGTATTATCTTTGTGGAAATATTTTTTATCTTAATATGATTCAGAAGTATCATGGTTAGAAGCTGCCCACAAGAACATGGCCTGGTGTTGACCAAGAATCCCCATATTCATGAAAAATTGCATTTTCAAGGAAGTTTTGCTCCTTTGAGATCGCTAGATTAGACCATGTGTCTGGGCTTAATGTTCAGAAAACATAGGCATTACACAGATAGCAAGGGCTATATGGATTTTACCAATTTTCCAATTTTCACTTGGAAAGCTTAGGGCAAATTGGCTAAGATGAGAAAATTGTCATACAGGGAAAAGTAACTTAAACAACGTGAGGCACACATTTAAAATGGACACAGCAATGAGTTGCCGAGCCACATCTAGAATTCAGCTTATTAGGATGCAGATTGGACTAAAGAAAAATCATTGCAAAAGTCAATTCTCAGTGAGTATTGGGGGCTCACAAATCAGTAACCCTGAAGGAGACACAGGTTGAGAGGTAATTTCAGATATCCCTGAGTGTGGTAGATATGCATAACTCTTAAGACAGACTCAGAAATGGCTGTTAAAAGGCAACTAGAAGGCCATTTGTTTGAGCTGCATTTGAGAGGGCTGACAAGGAACAGCAGCTGGTGAGATCTACCTACCTGCTGAGGAACAAAAGCTCTCTCAGAGGATAAACAGACAGGGAAACCAGACCAACACTCCAGCAAGGTACATATGGCTTCCAACCTCCTTGGAAGTTCTGGTCCCTTGGTTTCACTTTTTAAAGGGCACAGGAATGGTGTCTCTCAGCACCAGGTTTCATGTCCAACCAGAATCTCAGAATTTGGTTTGATTCAGAGATAGCATCTTCTGATGTAGTCAAAGACTTTGAAACAAACAAATAAACAAAAAATCCTATAACATTGGGCTCCAAATAAAATGTCTAGCATCCTTATTAAGAAAACAATAACACATAGATATAGGAAGGATGCATATATGAAATGAGAGGTGGAGACTGAAGTTAGACTGCAGGAAGCCAGTCCTGTGAGTCACCAGAAGAGGCAAGAATGGACTCTTCCTTGAACCTTCAAAACAAGTGTGGTCCTCTTGACACCCTGGGTTCAGACTTCTAGCCTCTGGATTGGAAGATAAGGAATTTATGTACTGTTAAGCTATGAGCTTTTAGTAATCTGCTATTGCAGATCTAGAAAACTGAAGCCAAGTATGAACTCCATAAAATTGCCTGTGACAGTGGTAAGTTCCTACGAGCCACAGTGTCTGACTGTATGTAGAAAGACTTCCTCAGATTCACTGATAACACCTCATTTGTCAGTAGAGCAAGATCCAAAGCAGACAGTCACTGCATGAGAGGCTTAGTCAAGTGAAAAACTCATTATACATTGTCTCATTTTTAGAAATTGTATGTATGTGGAGAATAGCAGGTGAGAAATCATTCAAACACAAATTGAGTGTCAATTCACCAGCAGATAACTGGGTCCCAAAGGGATCCGGCATATATATGCTATACTTGATTGTTCAAATACTAAATTAGAGGAGAAATATAATAATAGGTATGTTGCTTTTTATCCTGAAGTGGTATGTCAGAAAGAATTCACAGCACCAGGGGCTCTAAAGAGATGGCCTTTGGAAGGTAAGGTGCAAAAATCCCAAGTGGGCTTTTGTAATCAAGTATGTCAGACAAATGGATGAAATATGCCAGACATGATGGATATTTAATGGTGCAAATTCACAAGCTGTTCCCATATTGCTAAGAATGAGTTGAGCCTGCAGATTTACACATTTTGTGTATTAAATACTTTTGGAGCAGTGCCACATCTAAACAAGTCAAGGTCAACACAGATTCTGATCTTTACCCACGTAAAGAAGATTCAAATATATACATTTCATGGCACCTCTTTGAAAAATCTCCCAATTCTATCTCTCTGTTCTTCAAGTTGGGAGTCTATCGCTCACCCACTTGGAGGAACTTTGCTATCCAAGCAATCTAGTCATCAGTGCCTTAGTTCTAAGGCTAAGTCTTTTGTCACTGTTATCTAGCTTCATGATACACTTCCAATATTGCAAGTTCCCAGTGTGGTCAGGCCCCTGGGCTCTGTAGCATTTCCTTTTGTACTATTTTCTTATGGAACATGAGAATGCCATCCTTTTACTACTTTAGGAAGAGGAAATAAGATAAGAAAACTCAGGTAAAGAGGACCAGAGAAATGTACAGGTACAAATGTCTCCACATTAAATGTTTTGTTCAACTGCATACTATCTAATAAATCCATGTATCAGTTAAAAAAAATGAACCTTCATGTGTAATCAATTAGCCCAACTACTAAAGAGTCAATAGTAGCTGTTATGCTGTGGATGGGGAAGCAAACCTAAGACCAAAACCATTCTGGAAAAATATCACAGAGAAAAAAAATGGAAACATTGTTACAATACTGAATGCCCTGAAAGTATGATGTTCTTTATATTTCTAGTAATGTCCATTAATTCTTCAAACCTCCTCCTTCACCATGCTTTCTCTTGGTCTCCTTCAGGGATAACACATTGCCATTATATGGCCAGATCACTTAGTACATAGCTAATTCTTTATTGACCATTATCTGGCCATATCACTTACTATACAGTTAATTCTCTATTGATACTTTGTAAATTGTATGT